CAACTTTTCGAGTTTCTATTTTTTTGAATAATTTATAAAAGGTGCCGAAATTGCAAATTCTCCATTTACCAAAATATCGGCTGCTGTATTTTGTTTATTGCAATTCTCGTATCATTGTAACGGAATCATCTAAAGTTAAAAGTGGCAGAGGTCTTAGTTCACGGAAAGTTTTTTAGGATAGAATCATTAGAAAGTTACTAGCAGTATTTTTTTTTTGATGTAATGGGTAAATACTTTCATAACCAATTTATTTACTGTTTTTTTTAAACACTCGAAGTATTTAATAACAACATAAATAACTTCTTGTTTGACATTTAGAAAATTAGCACTTGGAACTATGAAACAGTATTAGCGAATAACTATAATAAAAGCTCAACTTTTTGTAAACTTATTTGAAAAAGGTCTAGCATAGAAAACTGTATCGCCTACATTCTCAATGAAAACCTGTTTTACAAATAAAAGCTTGGTATGCTTACACAATGGCTGTAACAGCACCATAAAACACTCGTTCGTACTGATATTGATTATGAAAATGCTATCCCTTTAGATTAAATTTGAAAATAATTATTTGGATGAAAAAAGTAAAAGTGTAAGTTTATTTTTAATGTTGGCGTTAACGTTAAGCAACATGAAACTTTAAAAAAAAGGAAAAAGAACTAAATGTCATCGTAATGTTTTATTTATCATTATATTTACTGTTATCGTTACCGTTACTACCTGTACTGTATATCGATATTTGTTTACTTGAGTTTATCGTTATTATCGTTATTACGTATACACAAATACACAAACAAATATTTTTAACGTTAGTAACACTCACTTCTAAAACTCGATTGTTGTATTATTTAGGCAGTAAAAATACATGTATTCCTGCAAGAATGTTTTGCTTCGGCGTTTCTGTTTTTAGAAAGAGATTGTTATAGGTATACGTAGTACATGTTCATATTTCAGGTGTTTCTTAAAAAATTCACGGAAAGAATATTAACGTTAAGAATTAAACTTTTTTCGTTTTATTGTCGCGTATGATTGGAATCATGTACATGTAGAATGCGTTAATTTTTATACGAAAATGGCAAAATGTTATTTAATATTCTGTTGTTCTATGCACACCCCCAAGTTCATTCGACCTTTAAGTATAGGTAATGCATGAATATCGTCGACGACAGGATAAAATAATGCACCGTGTCGTGTACTTTTGAATTTCTCTTAAATGCAAAACCCTTAAAAATAGCTATTGTTTTTGAATGTGACGTTGAAACAAAATTCTTAACCCATCGGGCTATTAGACGGCGCAAGGTAATCACTTTTTTAGTAAAAGCTCCTTCGGTGCCGTCTAATAAAGTGAGTTTTGTATTAGGTACTTAGATTATATAAAATTGTCACGTTAAAAGACCAATCTAACCTGATAAATGATATCATTATGCAGTGTACATTGAACAAGTTAATTTTCCCCGAGATTCCCGCCTCTTTGCGTTTATATTACCGTTACGTACATATATAACGATACATGTGATACAGTGGGAAAAACGCTACATCAACCCAATAGAGAACTCTTTCCGGAAAGGATTCTCTGCTACATGCAACCTAATGTAATAATAATAACGATAACGATAAAAATTTCTTTTTGCTGAGCAATGTATGGACAACAAGGCTTATTTGCTTACACAAAAACCTAAAATCAAATATTGATTGATGTTACATACATGTATATATAAATTTGTTGTGGTGTGTGCACCAATCATCAAGAATCTCACTTGCTATAACGAGCTTAACAAGCTGATTTATTACTTGAATTGTAAATTAATATCTTGATATACAGTTCATGTACAAATCCAAGCCAGTTTTTGTTTGCATCATTATTTGATCGCTCGTGCGGTTTTTTCTTCTCAAATTACATGTACATGTATAATTTAATTTTCTTTATAGAAAGAAACACAAAGACTAAATTTTCCATCCCGAAAAGATAAAAAGTAATTGATGATACATGTACATGATTTTATTAAAAAAAATAGAATGCACTCACCTAAAATTTTTCGGCGAAATAGCAATAGCAATAATGTTAAAAAAGAAAAAATCAATGATGTAAACAACAACAATAATAGCAATGGTAATAATAAAAGCAATATTAAAAATTCGAGTAAAAGACTTTCATGGCTTTCTTTACGCCGAAATTCAGTCAGACGTTCGTCTGCACCACCAGTCTTATCACATAAACTATCGTCAATGATTGAAACGCAGCAACAAAGTCCAATACTTTTCGAAATTCCCGAAGAATATCATATAACGCAACCACATCAAGAGCAACGGGTGCAAACACAGCAAACTCGGATACCGATCAACTGTGTCTACCAAATTCTAGCATACATTGATCATGATACAAGAACACTTGCCTCTTTAATGCTCGTCTCAAGAATGTGGGCCGAAGCAGTAGTTTCGATAATTTGGGCGAATCCGTTTGTTTATTTCAGCAAGCCTGGAATCATTGGCACGTATATTAGTTGTCTGGCATCGAAAGAACGTAAAAAATTGTGGCGAAAAGGATTTCTGGTGGCGACAAAGAAAAGAAAACGACCGACTTTTAATTATGCGGTTTATTTAAAAGAATTGAGTCTCGGAACTTTATTTGAATCGGTTGAAATTTGGATCAGTAGACGACATAAAGGGTAACTATGTATTTGTTGTTTTTGATGTGTGTGTGTGTGTGTGTGTGTGTGCATACGTTAATACGATAAAGAACTAATTTAAGATCGTCAAAATAAACAACAGTTGGGCTTCAATCAAAGATGCACCAATTCTCTGGGAAGCAATCTATAAACTTTTACTTAGTCAACGATCGAACCTTCAATCCTTATCACTCGACTGGGGAAAAAAATCCATTTGGCAACAGTACCCGAGACTATTAGAAACTAGTCATAAAAATGCATACTTGAAATCATTAAAGAAAATCTCACTTCACTATATTCCCGATTGGCAAATGCTATTAAATCTACATAAATGTGCGCCACAAATAGAAACACTTGAGGTTCTCGATTATGCATTATCTCCACCTCCTAAACGAAACGAAGAGAGAATATTCGCGGAATTAATGCTGGAATTGAAGGCACTAAAAAACTTCAAATTATTTGGGTATGGTACATTTCCACAAATAATGCTTTCTTCCCTAAGTGCTCAAATGCATTCATTGCGCTCCGTTGAAATAGTTTATGTAAATTTTGACGCAATCAATGCAGAGGAAGATGATAACGAGAGTGAGGGTGGCAGTGGTGGATCATCATCAGTGTTCACAGGATTAGCGAATTGTAAACAAATCGAAGAAATAGTGGTAAGAAATTGTCATTATGCAAAAGAAGAACATTTAGCTCCATTGGCACAAGCCGAATTTCCAATACTACGAAAAATTTATATCGACGAATGTGATTCTCCCTGGGACAAGATAATGGTTGCAATGATTGTGAATAATGTCTCTTCATTAGAAACGCTTCATTATTGTCTGAGACGTCCGTTTTGGTGGCAACGCCCTTATAGACCACCGTCTGATTTGGCGGGTATTTTACTGGGTTGGCTACGAAAATTTCCGATTTCTTCAGAAAAGTTGCATGATACTGCACTTGCTCTGTATAATCCTGATTCAAGATTGAAGGAATTGAGCTTATTTTGAATTGGACTTTTAATTGCTTTGCTTTATTTTAGGGGATTAAGAGAGGGAATATGAAAAAGTTGAACATTTTTGATTTTGGGACATTACTTTTGTTAATTCGAGTAAGAAAAAATGAACATTTTAAATTCGTTTCAAAAAAAACTGAAACACTTTATATTCATATAAACTTTTATTTGAATATTTTCGATAATAAAAAGACAATTTAGTATGTTGAGTTCATTTTATTCTTATTTGGATCTAACAGAACCTACCCCAAATTATTGAATACCCAGAGAACTTGTATTATTTTAAAGCATTGACTAATACGAGGTGAATTAACCGGCCGGACTAATTCGTCGAACCTCCACAGCTCAATCAATTATTGAGCTTTTAATTTAAAATTCTAGACTAAGATAAAGATGCGCGTGCGGTTGACTACCTAACCTCCACGTCTCATTCAAATACTCTTCGTCTACATGCTTACATGCCCAAGGCCATCCGGCAATGCTATATTTTTGATTGAGAAATTACGTGGTCTAATGCAACATTATGCTGTCGTTTTTCTCACACGATCACGCTAAAAAAATACTTTTCTTGACAGAATTTTTATAATCTAATTTCAATAACATTATCAAAAGAAAAAATGGTGCTAATAAAGAACGAAATTTGAAATAAAATGTCAATGCCTTAACGATAATAATAAAAACAATGTTTACTTAGAAAAATTAATAATAATCATTACCTCATTTTCATCCAAGGATAACGATAACACTTTGTAAGCATTACGTATACATGTATTGAGTAATCTTTGACGAATTCACATTTATCTTCGCATATTGTAGCATTAGACCACGTAATTTCTCAATCAAAAATATAGCATTGCCGGATGGCCTTGGGCATGTAAGCATGTAGACGAAGAGTATTTGAATGAGACGTGGAGGTTAGGTAGTCAACCGCACGCGCATCTTTATCTTAGTCTAGAATTTTAAATTAAAAGCTCAATAATTGATTGAGCTGTGGAGGTTCGACGAATTAGTCCGGCCGGTTAATTCACCTCGTATTAGTCAATGCTTTAAAATAATACAAGTTCTCTGGGTATTCAATAATTTGGGGTAGGTTCTGTTAGATCCAAATAAGAATAAAATGAACTCAACATACTAAATTGTCTTTTTATTATCGAAAATATTCAAATAAAAGTTTATATGAATATAAAGTGTTTCAGTTTTTTTTGAAACGAATTTAAAATGTTCATTTTTTCTTACTCGAATTAACAAAAGTAATGTCCCAAAATCAAAAATGTTCAACTTTTTCATATTCCCTCTCTTAATCCCCTAAAATAAAGCAAAGCAATTAAAAGTCCAATTCAAAATAAGCTCAATTCCTTCAATCTTGAATCAGGATTATACAGAGCAAGTGCAGTATCATGCAACTTTTCTGAAGAAATCGGAAATTTTCGTAGCCAACCCAGTAAAATACCCGCCAAATCAGACGGTGGTCTATAAGGGCGTTGCCACCAAAACGGACGTCTCAGACAATAATGAAGCGTTTCTAATGAAGAGACATTATTCACAATCATTGCAACCATTATCTTGTCCCAGGGAGAATCACATTCGTCGATATAAATTTTTCGTAGTATTGGAAATTCGGCTTGTGCCAATGGAGCTAAATGTTCTTCTTTTGCATAATGACAATTTCTTACCACTATTTCTTCGATTTGTTTACAATTCGCTAATCCTGTGAACACTGATGATGATCCACCACTGCCACCCTCACTCTCGTTATCATCTTCCTCTGCATTGATTGCGTCAAAATTTACATAAACTATTTCAACGGAGCGCAATGAATGCATTTGAGCACTTAGGGAAGAAAGCATTATTTGTGGAAATGTACCATACCCAAATAATTTGAAGTTTTTTAGTGCCTTCAATTCCAGCATTAATTCCGCGAATATTCTCTCTTCGTTTCGTTTAGGAGGTGGAGATAATGCATAATCGAGAACCTCAAGTGTTTCTATTTGTGGCGCACATTTATGTAGATTTAATAGCATTTGCCAATCGGGAATATAGTGAAGTGAGATTTTCTTTAATGATTTCAAGTATGCATTTTTATGACTAGTTTCTAATAGTCTCGGGTACTGTTGCCAAATGGATTTTTTTCCCCAGTCGAGTGATAAGGATTGAAGGTTCGATCGTTGACTAAGTAAAAGTTTATAGATTGCTTCCCAGAGAATTGGTGCATCTTTGATTGAAGCCCAACTGTTGTTTATTTTGACGATCTTAAATTAGTTCTTTATCGTATTAACGTATGCACACACACACACACACACACACACATCAAAAACAACAAATACATAGTTACCCTTTATGTCGTCTACTGATCCAAATTTCAACCGATTCAAATAAAGTTCCGAGACTCAATTCTTTTAAATAAACCGCATAATTAAAAGTCGGTCGTTTTCTTTTCTTTGTCGCCACCAGAAATCCTTTTCGCCACAATTTTTTACGTTCTTTCGATGCCAGACAACTAATATACGTGCCAATGATTCCAGGCTTGCTGAAATAAACAAACGGATTCGCCCAAATTATCGAAACTACTGCTTCGGCCCACATTCTTGAGACGAGCATTAAAGAGGCAAGTGTTCTTGTATCATGATCAATGTATGCTAGAATTTGGTAGACACAGTTGATCGGTATCCGAGTTTGCTGTGTTTGCACCCGTTGCTCTTGATGTGGTTGCGTTATATGATATTCTTCGGGAATTTCGAAAAGTATTGGACTTTGTTGCTGCGTTTCAATCATTGACGATAGTTTATGTGATAAGACTGGTGGTGCAGACGAACGTCTGACTGAATTTCGGCGTAAAGAAAGCCATGAAAGTCTTTTACTCGAATTTTTAATATTGCTTTTATTATTACCATTGCTATTATTGTTGTTGTTTACATCATTGATTTTTTCTTTTTTAACATTATTGCTATTGCTATTTCGCCGAAAAATTTTAGGTGAGTGCATTCTATTTTTTTTAATAAAATCATGTACATGTATCATCAATTACTTTTTATCTTTTCGGGATGGAAAATTTAGTCTTTGTGTTTCTTTCTATAAAGAAAATTAAATTATACATGTACATGTAATTTGAGAAGAAAAAACCGCACGAGCGATCAAATAATGATGCAAACAAAAACTGGCTTGGATTTGTACATGAACTGTATATCAAGATATTAATTTACAATTCAAGTAATAAATCAGCTTGTTAAGCTCGTTATAGCAAGTGAGATTCTTGATGATTGGTGCACACACCACAACAAATTTATATATACATGTATGTAACATCAATCAATATTTGATTTTAGGTTTTTGTGTAAGCAAATAAGCCTTGTTGTCCATACATTGCTCAGCAAAAAGAAATTTTTATCGTTATCGTTATTATTATTACATTAGGTTGCATGTAGCAGAGAATCCTTTCCGGAAAGAGTTCTCTATTGGGTTGATGTAGCGTTTTTCCCACTGTATCACATGTATCGTTATATATGTACGTAACGGTAATATAAACGCAAAGAGGCGGGAATCTCGGGGAAAATTAACTTGTTCAATGTACACTGCATAATGATATCATTTATCAGGTTAGATTGGTCTTTTAACGTGACAATTTTATATAATCTAAGTACCTAATACAAAACTCACTTTATTAGACGGCACCGAAGGAGCTTTTACTAAAAAAGTGATTACCTTGCGCCGTCTAATAGCCCGATGGGTTAAGAATTTTGTTTCAACGTCACATTCAAAAACAATAGCTATTTTTAAGGGTTTTGCATTTAAGAGAAATTCAAAAGTACACGACACGGTGCATTATTTTATCCTGTCGTCGACGATATTCATGCATTACCTATACTTAAAGGTCGAATGAACTTGGGGGTGTGCATAGAACAACAGAATATTAAATAACATTTTGCCATTTTCGTATAAAAATTAACGCATTCTACATGTACATGATTCCAATCATACGCGACAATAAAACGAAAAAAGTTTAATTCTTAACGTTAATATTCTTTCCGTGAATTTTTTAAGAAACACCTGAAATATGAACATGTACTACGTATACCTATAACAATCTCTTTCTAAAAACAGAAACGCCGAAGCAAAACATTCTTGCAGGAATACATGTATTTTTACTGCCTAAATAATACAACAATCGAGTTTTAGAAGTGAGTGTTACTAACGTTAAAAATATTTGTTTGTGTATTTGTGTATACGTAATAACGATAATAACGATAAACTCAAGTAAACAAATATCGATATACAGTACAGGTAGTAACGGTAACGATAACAGTAAATATAATGATAAATAAAACATTACGATGACATTTAGTTCTTTTTCCTTTTTTTTAAAGTTTCATGTTGCTTAACGTTAACGCCAACATTAAAAATAAACTTACACTTTTACTTTTTTCATCCAAATAATTATTTTCAAATTTAATCTAAAGGGATAGCATTTTCATAATCAATATCAGTACGAACGAGTGTTTTATGGTGCTGTTACAGCCATTGTGTAAGCATACCAAGCTTTTATTTGTAAAACAGGTTTTCATTGAGAATGTAGGCGATACAGTTTTCTATGCTAGACCTTTTTCAAATAAGTTTACAAAAAGTTGAGCTTTTATTATAGTTATTCGCTAATACTGTTTCATAGTTCCAAGTGCTAATTTTCTAAATGTCAAACAAGAAGTTATTTATGTTGTTATTAAATACTTCGAGTGTTTAAAAAAAACAGTAAATAAATTGGTTATGAAAGTATTTACCCATTACATCAAAAAAAAAATACTGCTAGTAACTTTCTAATGATTCTATCCTAAAAAACTTTCCGTGAACTAAGACCTCTGCCACTTTTAACTTTAGATGATTCCGTTACAATGATACGAGAATTGCAATAAACAAAATACAGCAGCCGATATTTTGGTAAATGGAGAATTTGCAATTTCGGCACCTTTTATAAATTATTCAAAAAAATAGAAACTCGAAAAGTTGAATGAGATATGAATAATTTTGTTGTTGAAAGTCACTTAGTGTTTGCAATTGGACATAACGATAATAAACTGTGAACACAAATTCCAATTTCGATACAAATACTTGTTTATTGGTGCCATAAATTTCACCGTTTATTTCATGGCACGCGTAATTGTCAATACATGTATAACAATATGGCTAATGTCAAATTCTTTTTCGCGAGAGACTTTTAAATATATTATAGTGATATATCAGCATGTGTATGAGTAATATATGGTAACGGTAAATATCGATTTTTCGATTCCTCAATTTCTACAAAAGCATAATATAGTAAACACTAATTAAACTCTCGTTATAGTGAATTAATTTTCTCTAATAGCCCGAACAGTGAGAGTGACTTTGTGTATGTTAACCGGTTAACCAATGTTATGAACGGTTTGTTAGTCGTTTAAAAATTTTTAGGTGGTTCCAATCACTAAAATAAATTACCTCTTAAATAAACAAAGTTATAATATAGTCTTCTCTTGCTGCTAAGTATTTTTTTATGCATTTATACTCTAAATCTCATTTTATAACCTTAAGTGAAGTTTATTTTTAACTGACACAAATCCTTCGGTTTATTAAGAATAGTCATTATAAGATCTTTATTAATAGCTTGATTCGTTCGCTTTAATTAACATGGATCACTTTATCAAGCTTTGACTGTAATCATGATTAATAAAACACATTGAAATATGCTAGCTATTCAAAGAGAAGAATAATTGGAAGTGGAAAATCACTTGTTCTATTCATCGTTATACGTAGTTATATTCCTCTGTTATCAAAGAATTACAAATACATGTATATTTGATAATAGTTAAGAGTCTAAATGGCAGCTACAGAGTAAATCTCTGTTCGGGTCGGGTCGGGTTTGTGGCCACCCGAACCGATAAATTCGGATCGAGTTTGATCCGAAAATCGTAGTTTTTCATTAATAACTTTAATTTTTACTAAGACACTTGTAATCTGTGTCTTAACGTTAAGTAAAGTTATTTGGAATGTAATGGTGTATATATCCACAAATTTTCGTTTAATATTAAACGAGAAATAACAATTTTTAGGTTGATCCGATCGGATTTGACTTCAACTCGACTCGAAAATGCGTTTCGGATTGGATTACGAATTGGATCCGATCCGATTGGAGAGAGACAACCAAATTGATTTTTCAAGAGCACTTCCATCCAAAGATTTTCATTTCATCAAATATTCACCAAAGAACTCACTAAATCTGGTTATGACAAAATCAACTAAATATTTAAAAATTCTCACTAACTTTAATCAACACTAATAATTTGAGAAAAATAAATCAACTTTGAATACTTATATTTTTTCCAATATTTGTAATCTGAATATAAAGAATATTCATCTTAATTAGGTGAATTAAATAAATCTGAATTTGTAAAATTCTAAAGATTAGTAAGATATTATTATTTTATAATTCATTCATTATTTTGTGATTTTTCATGTATTGATTTTGAATATAATATTTTCATTAATATTATTTCAATTTTGTTGATCTAAACAAAAAATTCACATTAATTATAGGATTATAATTATAAAGATCTAATTATATATTTTAGAAATATGAGTAATACAAATTGATGCAAAATCAAACTGAAAATTTGCGACATCAATAAAATAAATAAACTAGATATCTAATAATAAAAGAATATCAAATACTCATATTTAAAAAATTTAATATAAAACAAAATAAAAACTAATTATATAAATTATAAATTTCTTTAGATTGCAATCAGATTCTAATTTTATTTCATATTTTTAGTAAGTATTTAATACTTTTTTTTATTAATATAAGTTTCAATCAGAATTTTGCTGAATCAAATCAAGTGAGAATAATATAATTATATTATTTTTACTTAATTTATATAAAATTCAAGTTATTCAAATAATATATAATTGTAAAATTCAAGTTATTCAAACTAATATATATCAAATTAGTACAATCAAATTTCTTTATAATCATCACTCTCAGAAAAGCAAAATTTGATGATTATAGAGAAAATGTGACTATAGAGAGATTTTTTATT